GGCTCGCACCTGAGCCCCGGCCAGGCGTCCTGGGGACTTGGCCAGGGTGCAGCCCTGGGCCGCGGTCACTCCCAGAGTGACAAAGTGGAATCTGGGGGCTGGAGAGACAGCACGGCGGGGACGGAACTTGCCCTGCACGCGGCCAACCTGGGTCTGATCCCTGGCACCTCACAGGGTCGCCCTGAGCACTGCCAGGAATGACTCCTGAGTGCAGAGCCAGGAGTCAGCCCTCAGCATCACCAGGTGTGGTTCCAATACCCAAAACAGCAACACGGAGTGGAGCGTGGTCCCGTGTGACCGTCCCGAGAGCGGATTCCTGTCCCAGGGCCTCCACCTCCTCAGAACCAGATTCTGCTCCCTCTGACAGTTGCCCGAGGGAGGAAGGGAGCAGGGCAAGGTTCTTGCCTCTCCAGGGGTGCCCCTCTGGACAGGACTAGCTTCTTTGGGGGGGGGGGGGGCGCAGGGAGGAAGCTGAGCCCCGTACCCTGGAAGAACAGAATCTGCCGAACGCTGGAATTGCCACGCAGACGAAAACAGGACTGCACGGCCGCCAAAGTTGGGATCTTGCCTCGGCAGCCTGGGTGTTACCTGGCAACCCTGGTTGGGGCACCGGCGAAATGATCCCCCCGCCCCCAATTCAAGGAAACCCCCGGTGGGAGTCTGGAAGCTGCTCTGGACCACATCACCCCGGTGTAACAAACCGGAGGGTTTCTCCCACCAGCCCCCAGTGGGGCTTCAAGTCCGTGGCTAGGGGAGCTGCCCCGCGGGTCGAGCTGGGAGTGGACCACGGTCCTCTCTGAAAGTCCTTCCAGCCCCTGTGCTGCCTGTGCCCATGTGGCCGGGCATCTGTGGTACCCGAGCGCATGTTGCCCGCACCTGCCCTCGAGAGATGTGCACCGGGGCTCTCTCGTCCTTGGAGAAACCCACGAGCTCTCTCGGGCTTGTCATCTCTGTCTCTCCCTGTCTCTCTCTCCCCCTCCCTCCTTCCCTCCCTCCCTCCCTCCACTCCTTCCCCTTCCTAAAAAGCCTTGCTATTGGAGGGAGAGCACCTGGGCTTGGGGGCCCAGGTGGCAGCTTGGGCTCTGGCAGCTTGGCACAGCCCAAGGTGGCGCCTCAGGGCTGCCCCTCTCCGGGGCCCCTCCTCCCTCCGTGACAGGCTCCCGCCTTCTCCTCGCCAATTAAGAGCCGCCCAGGCCCGGCCAGAGGCAGGAAAACAAGGCAGTTAGTCACTCGGCTTCCTTGATCCACCCCAATCACGTGCCCCGCTGCTCCCCGGATGACTGTCGTCATGGCAACACAAAGCCAGTCCCTGCGAGTTCTGGGAACCCAAACAAATTCAGGGGTGGGGGCAGCGCAGGGAGGGAGGGGAGGGGAGGGGCAGGGAAAGGAGGAGGGGATGGAGAGATCAGGGAGAAGTCAGAACGGAGGGGAAGAGCTCAGAAGAGCCCGGTGGGACTGTCCCTCTCCCGGACACTGCCCTGTCCTCCCTCTAGCCACGGGGCCTTTGAACAACTAATTCCCGCTGCCAGGATGGTGTCTGCCCTGTATCTCCTGCCGCCAGCCTATTCTTTGACCTCCAAGGTCTTAACTGCCACTTCCCCCGGGAAGCCCTCCTGGGCCACCTGCACGGGGCCACTTCTCCCTCATGCTTTCTCGTGTCACCCAGTGCCTCTCCTTCAGCCCTCCACAGAGCGGCCTTCCACAACCTTCCAATCACACCCGGAAGGCCGGCTCAGGTCTCCAGCCCAGTGGAATGCCAGCCCAGGGGGGCAGGGCCTAGCTCGTCCACCGCTGTCTCCACAGAGGCCAGCCCAGTGTCCCGACACCCTCCCACGGACGGACACCCATCACCAGGACACTCACAGGACTTGAACCCCGGTCTGGCTGAGCACAAAGTGTCACCTACTCCCCCCCCCGCCACCATCCTCGTTTATTTACATAGACTTTTTGCCACACTCAGCGGGGTGCAGGGCTGACTCCTGGCTCTGTGCTCAGGGGTCACTCCTGGTGGTGCTCGGGGCCCCCAATGTGGTGCTGGGGATGGAGCCCAGGTTGTCTCCGTGCCGACAGCCCCTGACCTGCTGTCCTATCTCTCTGCACGCCCCCCGACTCCCCCCAAAACAGGAGTCACCACTGGCCATGCTCAGAGCCCCGGCCACTCGCCACAGAGCCGGGCCTGGCTTCCAGCGCTGCTCGGGGACCACGCCTGGCACCCGGCTCCACTGGTGTCAGACCCAGCCGTGACCCACGGCCACCAACAGCTTCCCCAGCAATGCTTGGCAGCCCTGGGGGTCCGGCTCCTCTTCCCCACCCTGGCCAGGGCATGCTTTGGGAGGAAGGGTTCGAGGCGACTCAGGGAGGCCCTGCACAGGGCGGGCGTGTGCAGAGAGAGGGGAGATGGGATCCGGCCCCTCCCTGCCCCCCAGGTCCCTAGGCAGGAGCTCTGCCGCCACCCTACCAGGGGCCGCGGGCTGCCCCAAAGGCAGGAGGAAAGGAGAGGGAGACATGCAGAGGGACACTGGCCTGTCCCCTTGGGGGACACACACAGGAGACTTAACCCCATGCCCCTTGGCCGGCTCTGTCCTTGGAATGCCATAGACTCCAGGGCCCCGGGTCCTCATCTGCAGATGGTGACCGTCGCGGCCACACGACGCTGTGCCCATGACGCAGGGAGGGCTCCGAAGCACTGGAAGGCTGGGGGAGGAAGTCCCCGCCTCTACTCCTCAGAGCCTCAGTTTCTCTGTCTGTGACACGGGCACGGTCTTGCCCGCTGCATCGAGTCCCTGGGCACACCGGGGGAGGGGGCGGGGGGGCACCATGGTCACTCCGGCTGCCACACTGGTCAGTCGTGGGCAAGGTAGGATTTGGGGGTGGGGGGCACTCGCCAGAGGCCCTTCATCCTGCCGCTGGCTGACCGTGGAGAGTGAGAGGGGTGACCCTGGGCACGCCACACGGCAAGCAGGACGCCGAGACCTCCCGGTCAGCGAGGGACAGCGGGAAAGAGGGCCGCAAGCCCCAAACTCGGCGGCACCCAGCCGGGACGCGCCCAGCCAGGTCCCAGATGGAGCAAGGTTGCTGTCCAGCCGGGGAAAGGGGTGGGGGGAGGCCTCTGTCCAAGGTACTGAGGAAGCTGGACCCCAGCCAGAGCCGGCCCAGAGGAGCCAGCACCGCCCCCTAGAGGCCGCGCTGATCACCGGCAACACACAGCCTGGGTCAGTGCAGTGTTTAACCTGAAGACGAGGGTGGTCTCGAGGGGTGGGCTGCTCCAGGCACTTTCCCCGAAAGCGTGTTGTGTCCAGTCAACATTCTGAGTGTCTGTGTGTGGGTCCGGAGGAGGGGCGGGGGGGGACACCCAGCTCACTCCTGGTGGTGCTCGGGGGACCACGTGCCGTGCTGGGCACTGGACCGAGGTCGTCCACCCAGGCAGGATCCCTGACCCCGGCCAGCGCTCTCTCCCCAGCCCCTGGGCAGCTGCCTCCGGGCCCCCGCAGGGCTCCCTCTGAAGGCTCAGCTCAGACCTTCTGGGTCTTTCTGTAGGATCGGTATCCGACATGCCCCCCTTGGAAAGGTGAGCCGAGAAACCAGCCCTGTGCATGACGCTGTATCCACGTCACAGACAGACACACATCCACCCGCCACGCTGGACAGATGGCACCCCCCGGGGCGGGGGGAGGCTTTCTGGCCCCCGGAAGCACTGACCCCAGAGCCCTCCGGGGTCGGGGCCTCACAGCATGACACCCAGCCCCAAAGTCTTGGGCTGACACAGGCTGACGGGCTTCGGGGGAGATGCAGGGTGACAGGAGGCAGGCAGGACACCCACACACGCGCACGCGCACACGCACACGCACGCACCCCCTGCAGTCCCAGCTTCATTCACACAGAGATCCATGCGTCACATGTCACAATCACACTGACTCGGGCATCATCTGTCACACACAGATCCCAGCCCGGGGCAGCCCACAGCACACACGCCCTCACTCTCACGCACGCACACACGGTCACAGCCCCACAGGGGCACACGCAGCCTCCCGCATCCCGGTCCCTCACTCAGGGAGTCACACACGGTCATTCGAGGCAGACACACACAAACACATACACACGCACACACACTGAGCTGAGCTGGCATGCACGCGCGCGTACACACATATGGGGGGACAGGGGGGCCTCCAACGTCATCAGAACCTGCCCCTCTGCGTGGGAACCACCAGCTCTCCCCCCTAGAGGCTGGATGGGCTGCTGGGCAGGGGGGACAGGGCACACGGGGGCAGCAGGACCGGCCAGGCCTCTTCTTCCTCCTCCCCCTCCTCCTCCTCCTCCTCCTCCTCCTCCTCCTCCTCCCAGCTCTCCCCCCTAGAGGCTGGATGGGCTGCTGGACAGCTGTGGGAACAGGGCACACCGGGGCAGCTGGACCTGCCAGGCCTCTTCCTCCTCCTCCTCCTCCTCCTCCTCCTCACCCCCTCCTCCCCCCAGCTCTCCCCACTAGAGGCTGGATGGGCTGCTGGACGGCTGGGGGGACAGGGCACACGGGGGCAGCTGGACCTGCCAGGCCTCTTCCTCCTCTTCTTCCTCCTCCTCTCCACCCTCCTCCTCCTCCTCCTCCTCCTCCGCTGCGGACCCACCCCCGGCCCCAGGGAAGGGGCTTTGCGGAGTGAGGGGCCCTGGTTCCTGGGTGGTTTCAGGACTGAGAACTCCGGGGGTGGGGGGCGGGAGGCCAGCCTGGAGGAGGGTCTCCTCTGCCCAGCGTGACCCCTGCCCTTCTCCCCAGCTCTGATCCGTCCACGCGACCCCTCCCCAGTGCCCCCCACCGGGCCGGACCCTGGGGCAGCGGAGCCCCTCCCATCTGCTCCGCCACCCCGGGGGTCGCCCCCAGCAGGAGCGCCGCCCGCAGCCGCGCGCCCCGCGGGCCCGGCCGGGGGTCCCCGCGCCCCGGGGCGCCCCTGGGGGCTGCGGGTCGCGCCCCCCACCCCCGCCCACCCGCCCCCCGCCGCGCGGGCACCCACCTCCTTCTTGACGGTGCGCAGCAGGCGCTGCCGGGTCTCGGCGTCTGCGGGACAAGACGGGCGGGTGAGCGCGGGCCGGGCCGCGCCCCGCGCCCCCCGGCCCCGCGCCCCCCGCGCCCCCATACCCGCGGGCCCCGAAGCCATGGTGCGCGCTGCGTGGCGGGTGCGGGCGGCGGGCGGGGCGGGCGCGTGACGTCACGGCCGCCGCTCGGGGCGCCGCCCTGCAGTGCCCCGGGCGGCCGGCAGGGGGCGCCGCTCCCGCACCCCGCGCCAGGGCCCGCGCCGAGCCCGCACCCAGGGGTCTCCGTGCCCGGTTCCCCCGGAGCAGCGGGAGCGAGTGGCCCGGGGCCCAGGCCCCGCTGGGTTGGGCTTTGAGATGGGCCCGATTTGGAGGGCACGGCGGGTTAGGGCGTTGGCTTTGCTCACGGCGGGCTCGGGATTCGATCCCCTGCCCTCACCCCCTGGAGGGGCCCCCAGCCCCAGCACGTGGCACTGTAGCGCTGTCCTCCCGTTGTTCATCGATGTGCTCATGGGGCACCAGGAACGCCGCACCTCAAGTTGTGAGACTTGTTGTTACTGGGTTTGGCACCGCCGATGCGCCCCGGGGAGCTTGCCAGGCTCTGCCGTGCGGGCGGGATACTCTCGGTAGCTTGCGGACAGGGGCAGAGGAATCGAACCCTGGCAGATGCCCTACCCGCCGTGCTATCGCTCCAGCATCTGGGGTAATTCCTGAGCGCAGGGTCAGAGAAACTCCTGAGCTCGCTGTGGCCCCAACCCCCTAAAATATTGGATACACTCTGCTTACCCTCCAGGAGTGCAGGTAGGTCAGGGCAGTGGGACACAGAGCTCTTCTAGACGCCAGGGGAAGGAGGCCAGGGCCCAGAAACATCCGCTGTCCTCACTGTCATCTTCATCATCACCACCACCGTCCTGTGACACGTAGAACTCCTACGAAGTCTTCTCAAGACACTCGTCCGGGATCCTCCATCCAGGAGAGACCAGGACTTAAGTGGATCTTCCCCTGCAGATCATTGGATGAGGGGCGTGTTCTCCTAGGACCCTACCCACAAATGGATCTCCAAGGCTGGGCCAGCCATGGGGACCAAGGCTTGTTCTGCAAAAGGCCCCCCAACTCCCACCTCTCTCTCCCTGACACCCAGAATTGCTATTCAGCCGGTGCCCGTTGGACACCCGTCATGAGCCCCAGAGCTGAGATACAAAGGGGGCAAGACAGGGAGGGCTGCTCTGGGGGCATTTCCTAGGGACACCGCACCGGGGCCCCTTGGAGCAGGGTGGGTTGAGTTTCCCTTCCCACCCCGAGCAGAACCCCGGCAGCTGAAGACCTCCGGTTCCAGCCACAGCCATGCTGAAGACCACCCTCCACACACTCGGACGAGCCTTACGCATGAAGGAACCGGCAGAGGAACCCAGGTGTGCGGGACCCGGGGTGTAGATCTCCAAGCCGGCTCAGATTGGGACTGGGGCCTCCTCCACCCTGATCCCCATCTTCCAGTATGTAGGCATTACACCCACCAACTGCCCCCGACGCCGTGTAATCCCATCAACGGCCAAGACCCAGAGACTTACTCTGGAGAACCTGGCAGGCTACCAAAAGTATCCTGCCCACACGGCAGAGTCTGGCAAACCCCCCGTGGCATACCCAATATGCCAAAACCCAGTAACAATGATGGATCTCATTCTCCTGACCCTGAAAGAGCCTCGAATGTGGCACTTATTAAAAAATCTCAGGGCTAGGACAAAGGAGACGTTACTGGTGCCTGCTCAAGGAAATCGATGAACAACAGGATGACGGTGATACCACAAAAGAACAGGTGGCTGATACAGTTTGCTGAACATTTTTGCAGACAAAGTCAAAGCAGGAGAGAGAGAGAGAGAGAGGACGAGGGGTCCCAGGGAGATGAGGTGTGCATTTTGAGGTGTGGTGTTGGAGCGAGGTTCCACTGAGAGTTTGGACAGAAGAGAACAGTGGGCTCTGGGGGTTTCTGGAAAGAAAGAATGCTGTAAGACAAGGGAACCAGGCGTGCAAAGGTCCTGAGGTGGGCGTGTGCCAATGAGTATGAGAAATGGCCAGGAAACTGAAGCGGCCGGAGTGGAGGAGTGAAGAACATGTGAGGGTCCTGTTCCTCGAGGACCCGAAGACTGTGGTGAGGATTTGAATCCTGCTCCCTGGGAGGACTTTCTCCAGTGCCCGGTCCTCCCTTCAAGAGGACTGGGGGGCCGCTCGGAGTGTGCGGTGGTGTCACTTGAGTGTGCATCGAAGCCCCCTTGCCATTTGTCAGCTTGGGGTCCTTGGTCATAAGCCACCAATGCACGCGCTTTGTTCTCCTTAGGCAAAAGACAACGGACTAAAGGGGGAAATGGGGAGAATTTGTTCCCACAGAGCACAGAAGCCCGGAGAAGTGGGAAGTGACATGTCCTTAAGGCAGCTGGAACCGTTTGAGCAGTGGCTTGTGAGGACCACGTGGCCGGTATGCCAGCAGCCAGGAGAAAGGAGCCCTGGTGCCTGAGGTGCCCGAGAGGGAACGGCTGGCTTACCCCCACTGGGAACGGGAAAACCCTCCTTCATAATCCCAATACCTCACAGTAAGACTGTACTTAGTTCCACCCTGGATTCCAGAAAGTTCATAGCGCGTGAGCCGTGCACCTGCTGTGTGCCTGGCCCTGCACCAAGACCTTCGCCCATTGCATGCATGTCGTCACCCCTTTTATCCAGCACTCATGGGGTTTTTTTTTGTTTTTTTCTTTTTGGGTCACAGCCAGCGATGCTCAGGGGTTATTCTTGACTCTGCACTCAGGAATTATTTCTGGCGGTGCTTGGGGGACCATATGGGATGCCGGGGATTGAACCCAGGTCGGCCGCGTGCAAGGCAAACGCCCTACCTGCTGTGCTATCACTCTGGCCCCAACCAGCACTCATAGGTTTTTGACATCAGAGAGAAGTCTCCAGAAATCTTTCCCCAAGTTCACACGACAAGTGAGTGGAGACCCGAATTCTGACTTCCGGGCCCAAGCGATCCATCCTGTGGCGCTCACCCATTAAATGCGCCCCCGAGTGGACAAGGGCACCCTGGAAAGGCCTGTTGGAGCCTCTCTGCCTGCAGAAACATTTCCCCAAACTCACAAGTTGCCTTTTCCTGCCAAGCTCTAAGCGCGGGTCCTCCCTTGAAACCCCAGAACATTCCCTCCAGTGGAAAGAGGATGCTTGGCTTCATGGCAGCTGGGAGGCGGGCATGGGTAGGACCGGGGCTCCCTCCTGGTTCCCAAAGGAACAGGGATTTTGGAAAGGGAGCTTGGTCTCCCTTGGCTGCAGTTGGACCACTTACCACGAGGGGGCGCCACCCCCACCATCAGTGTGGGAAGAAAAGGACTCGCTCAGACAGAAGGTGGAAAATTTGCGACCTTTCCCGGGAGGTGGGGGTGGAGGGGCAGGGGGCTGCGGAGGGGTGAGGGAGAATTCCCTTGTTTGGCCCAGGCTACATCCCAGACCCGTTGCATGGCTGCAGTTAGTAGCATTAAGAAAAGCCTCCTCCTTGGGATGGAAACGTCCCGAGTATGATGCTGGGGAGGTGGAATGGTGGTAGGGTTGGTGTTTGAATATTAAATATAATCAATTATTGTGAACTGTCTTATAAAATACAAAAAATTTTAATTATAGCACTGTAGCACTGTCCTCCCATTGTTCATCGATTTGCTCAAGCAGGCACCAGGAACGTCTCCATCGTGAGACTTGTTGTTACTGTGTCTGGCATATCGAATACATCACGGGGAGCTTGCCAGGCTTTGCTGTGCGGGTGAGATACTCTCGGTAGCTTGCCAGGGTCTCTGAGAGGGGCGGAGGAATCGAACCCGGGTCGGTCGTTTGCAAGGCAAAAGCCCTACCAGCTATGCTATCACTCCAATTTTTTATTTTATTTTGTTTACATTAAATTATTTTTTATTATAGAAGCAATCCAATTTTCTTTCTTCTTCTACTAATTCTACATATCGCCTACATTTCTTCTAATATGGCATTTTGGTTTTGTAATTGTCTTTCTTCTCACAGTGACAAAACCCGTACAGGGGTTACAGGTTCAGAGAACGTGCCTTTCTAACAGAAACTGTCCCCTGTGAGTAACCTAGGAAGCCTGTCTTTTCTTTATTTTTCCATAATTTTATTTATTTATTTATTTTCTTCTTATATTTATTTATTGAATCATTGTGGGAAAAGTTACTAAGCTTTCAGGTTTAAGTCTCGGTCATACAATGATCAAACACCTCTCCCTTCACCAGTATTAATTTTTCACCACCAAGAACCCCAAAATACCTCCCCTCCCACCCCTCCCAATGCCTGTGAGGCAGATGATTTCTACTTAACTCTTCTCTACATTGATTACATTCATTATTTCGACAAAAGATGCACAATATTGTTTAGAATCCCCCCACCAACAATCAGAATTGCTGAAAAGGAATTGTGAACTATTTTGTTTTCTCATAGCTGGTTATGAGAATCATATAATGTCACGTGGCCACAATTTTGGATTTCTGCAAAGAGCCAGATAATTACGAGATTGGTTTCTGTGTGTCTGGTGTTATGGCCGTGCCGGAGAGCTGCTTGTGGGGGGTAACTCGTGACCTCGGTAGGGCGTGAAGGATGAGCCGGTACCACCCCCCTTCCCATGAGACTTAAGTTGCCCCATCACCATCAGCTCATACCTGGCTTCCCTATAAGCTCTGAGGCAGTGGCCACCTTGCTGCCGGGGGGAAAAAAGTGGAAGGGGGCAACACCCTTTCCCTCCTGGGGAGGCATGGCACCATAGTTAAATGCATGGTCCATTCACTTTTCTGCCACAGGCTGCCGGTCTCTGGATTAAGTGCTTTTGTTCTGGAGCCATGGCTATGCCAGAGAGCCACTTGTAGGGGGCAATTCGTGACCTCGGTAGGGCGTGAAGGACGAGCTGGTACGCCCCCCCCCCCCTTCCCATGAGACTGCAGTTGACCCTTCACTGCCAGCTCATACCTGGCTTTCCAATAAGCTCTGAGGCGGCGGCCACCTTGTGTGCAGTCCAGATGCATTTCTGCCAAAAGCCGCTGGGTTTCGAGATTTGTTTCTGAGTCTCTGAGATCATGGCCATTAATCAGCTTGATCAGGACCCAGAGAGGCCGTTTGTAGGCGGCGACTCGGGGTCTCATTGGGATGGGGAGGAAAGG